GCGGGGGGGGGGGGGGCTGAATGTTGGTAAGATAGAGAAGAAATCAGTATGACAATAATAGCTGGGAATGATCACACTGGACAGATCTGAATCTTAAAAGTAGGTAAAGGGATATTCTTAATAACCTTTCAGCATCAATGCAAAACAGATCTTGTGGTACTTAGGGCTACTCCCAGCTCTGTGCTCAGGCCCACATTCTGCCAAGAATTAAACCTGACTCTTTTTTTTTTTATTACTGAATCACCGTGAGATACACTCAAAAAGCTTTAATGTTTGAGTTTCAGTCGTACAATGATTGAACACCCATCCCTCCACCAGTGGACATTTTTCACCACCAATGTCTCCTGTACCTCCCCCATCCCACACATCCCCCTGCCTCTGTGGCAAATAATTTCCCCCATAATCTTTCTCTACTTTTGGGAATTATGAAAACCTGACTCTCATGCAAAGCATACACCTTAGCATATTGAACCATCATTCTGGCCCTAAAGCATGATTTTTTAAAAAGGATCTATACTTTATACATATATATATATATATATCACTCTGTCACTCTGTCCTCCCGTTGTTCATTAATTTGCTCAAGCAGGCCCAGTAACATCTCCATTTTGAGACTATATATATATATATATATATACACATATATATATATCCACAATGGATATATATCCACAATGTTCTGAAGCATGACTTTTTAAAAATGATCTATAATATATATATTTATATATATATTCACAATGGAATGGGCTGGAGTGATAGCACAGTGGGTAGTGTTTGCCTTGCACACGGCCGACTTGCTGGGTTCGATTCCTCCACCCCTCTCAGAGAGCCTGGCAAGCTACTGAGAGTATCTCACCTGCACAGCAAAGCCTGGCAAGCTACCTCTGGCATATTCGATATGCCAAACACAGTAACAACAAGTCTCACAATGGAGACATTACTGGGCTCGCTCGAGCAAATCAATGAATGGGAGGGCAGGACAAGACAGGATCCACAATGGAATATTACTCAGCACTTTCCTTCGAAAGATCAGACCTCGTCATTATGTACTAAATGGTAGAGGATGGCAGGACATGAGTCATCACTGAGTACTGAACCAGGAGTGAGGCTAGAACACAGCCTAATATAGCCCCAAAACCAAAATAAGAGTTCTGACCCAGCAGAATAAAAATATTTGGTTTTTAAAAAAAAAAGCAAACCTTCCCACTTTTGTCTGATGTATTCCAAATAATCATGTATTTGGCATTAAACTGTCAAAAATATTTTGGAAATAAATATCTAACTGAAGTAAAGGAATGTTTAATGTTTATATTAAATGTTTATACAAGAATGAATTAGTGAAAACTACTTTCTTTGAAGTTAATACTTTAAAGTCAATACTTCTTCTGGTACCATGCTTATATACTCTTGTTTGTGTGTGTGGAGCGTGAGGGTGGTCCTCTTGGTGTGGCTCTGAGAATTGCACTTAGCAGTGCTGGGATCACACTGAGCAAAAGTGTATGTAGGTGGAGGTCAGAATGAACTCCTAATCTCATGCATGCAAGATGGTTTTCTACTACCGAGCCTTATCCTTGAGCTCCCATGGGTATGTCTGATAAGGATCAGAATTGATTATTTTTTATATCCACCTCTGACTTTATTTCTTTTGGCTGAAAGTCTCTTTCACTGTCACTGTCACTGTCCTTCCATTGTTCATCGATTTGCTCGAGTGGGCCCAGTAATGTCTCCATTTTGAGACTTGTTGTTACTGTGTTTGGCATATCAAATACGTCACGGGTAGCTTGCCAGGCTTTGCCATGCAGGTGAGACACTCTCGATAGCTTGCCGGGCTCTCCGAGAGGGGCGGAGGAATCGAACCCGGCTGGGCCCGGCTGGCTGCGTGCAAGGCAAACACCCTACCGCTGTGCTATCGCTCTAACCCTGTTAAAATATCAACCTTGAAACTTCTACATCATGTTGAGAGGGCTTACAGATCCCCAAGAGTTTCTGATTAGAGATCTGGTCGTTCCCATTATCATCATTCCACCTTTTAGAAAACTCTTTTTTCTATATCTTCCCATGGTAACCATTACCCTGACATGAAACTCTAAAGGTTAAGCTTCATCAGTATTATTGCACCAAGTTAGCACAACCAGGATTTCCCTCATTTAGGCAGAAATTCAAGAGAACTCACAGTGGTCAGTGCATCTGCAGATCTAGTTCCAGACCAGTAGACTTTCTACCTGAAAAAAAAAAAAGTCTGTCTAAGGGCACAGTGGGTAGGGTGTGTACTTTGTACATGACCAACCTAGGTTCAATTCCTAGTATCCCAGATGGTCCCCCAACCCCACCTGAGTATAGCCTGGTGTGACCCCAAAACAACAACAACTAAAGTTAATCTATGGATCAATTTAGACCTGCCCAATATTACATTATATCTGAAAGCAGAGCTCTGACTTACTGAGTAGCATTAAGTACAAAGATGGTCCCTGTTGATCATAAATACTGTGATGGTCTCACCCCTCCCATACTTATTTGCATCTAGTTTCATTCTACTTTTCATTCCCTCTGTCATTCTCCATTTCACCTGCCTAATATTATTTCTTTTTGAGTTTGTTGTAAAATTAGAAAATTAATTTTATTTGGGGAAGTCCAGGTGGGGCCACACGAGACAGTGCTCAGGAGAAAGTTCCTGTAGTGCTCAGGAAGATATATATGGACCAATGATTGAAATCAGGATCAAGTTCAAAGTGGGGCAAGTACCTTCTGTCCTGTACTGTCCGATGCCCAAATTACAGATTTTTGATCAAGTACTGGCTATTGTGCTTGGAAGTTTTATATTATTCTTGTTTGCTTAGTTTTAAGTCAGTAAATAATTTCCTTTTCTTCTTTCAAGCAGAAAACATAAATTAAGTACTTGCTAACACTTTGCTACTCCATAACATTTTTTTTTTTGGTACAATATTGTTCAAGGCAAGGCAAGTCCCTCCAGGAAGGGAGGGTATAAGCAGGAGAGCCTATAGGGAATGGTGGAATGAGGCTGATTCACAGAGCTTGTGCTGCAAAGGTAGCTTTGAATTATAGTTTTAGTACCTGAGAAATGGAGATTGGTATGCACATATCATAGTATCAGTAGTTCTACCATAGGTAATCATTCATGCAAAGTGCATATGATAATCATCACTATCAAGTAACTGACTCAGTTATGTGCTATCAATAAAAATACCCTGAAAGGAAGAAAAATGTGGCATTCCCTAAAATCTAGACATTAAAAAACAAAGCAAAACAAAAGAACCTTGGCTGATCCCACAGAAAAAAGAACTACATGAATAAAGGTGAATGTCCACATTGAATAATTACATTTAAACCTTTCTATAAGATTCACACATGTTTCATTGACTGTACTGTCAATAAACTTTTAAAGCTTAAAAGTTTGAGAGACTTTGAAAAGTCTCACTATATCCTTCTGTATCTTCTGGTCTTGACTGAATTACATGGCACTTGGTCACGCTAATCTTTTTGGCAATAAATTATGCTGACTAGTTACTACAAAAATGCTGTTAGCATAAACTGAAGGGGATCACTTTTTGAAGATTCTAATTCCAAAGAATAGCCATCCTACCATTAACTATACTAATAGAGAAGAATCTTAATTAATCCTATAATCCTAAAGGACTTACTGAAGAATGTGTTATCCTATTTTTTTTTTCAGCTAGATTGACCTGCTTACTCATGTTTTTTCTTGGGTTGAGCTAAAATCTTTCCCTGTCATGTGCTGTGAGTTTGTGAGCAGTAAGTTTACTGGGGAATATAAAATAACCATCAGTATTCTTACCAATAATAATAATGGCTACCATTCATAGAATGCATGCTGTGTTGGGCAGTTTGCCAAATTCCTTAAATACCTCTCTTTGACTATTCACAAAAAAACATTCTGATGAGGGTATTATTCTCATTTTACGGAAGAGGAAGCAGGCTCAGAGCAGTTAAACACCTCTCAGGGGGGCCCACTGTGAGAAGGTAGGATTCAAACTTGGGTCAGTCAGATTCCAAAGCCATGCTCTCAGCATTTTTCTAGACTGCCTACTTGTGCAAACTACAGATTAGCTCAAAGAGAATGTTATTACTCCCATTTTATCATTTTCTTTATAGGTTTGCTTGGAAGATTTCTAAAGATATTTCTTTATAAGTGTGCACACCAAGTTTCATTTTTCTCAAGAAAGCACAATAAACAAAAGTAGTGGGAGAAAGAAAATTAGAGTGGCAATAGACTTTGTTTTTTTCCTTTTGTTTTTTGGCTTTTAGGCCACACCCAGCTGTGCTCAGAACTTACTCCTGGCTCTGCACACAGGGGAGCACTCCTGGAAGTGCTCAGGGGATTATAATCCTGGGGATCAAAGCCAGGTCAGATCATACAAGGCAAGCACCTTATCTGCAGTCATTACTTCTTAGTGATGAAACTGTGGCCTTTTCTTCTTTACTTGTTCTATATCTTTTAGTTCTTCTTGAAGTAATAAAAGGTAAAGGTAAAGGCCCTCCCGTTGATCGTCGATTTGCTCGAGCGGGCCCAGTAACGTCTCCATTGGAGACTTTGTTGTTACTGTGTCTGGCATATCGAATACTCTCGGTAGCTTGCCGGGCTCTCCGAGAGGGGCAGAGGAATCGAACTCGGGTCGGCCATGTTGGCCGCTTGTAAGGCAAGCGCCCTACCCGCTGTGCTATCGCTCCTTGAAGTAATGAAAATTTCAAAGTGAAGATATGCTTTTTTTAAAAAAAAATTGTTTGTTAATCGGGCAGAGTTGTTTTTCACTGTTGTCCCAACACACCCCCACAGCAAGACTCAGAAGCCTGGTGTCTGGGCCATTGGCAGCAGTGCTCAGCCTACCTACCATGTTGGCCTGAAATTTGCTGCCCCACCTGGCTCGGTCCAGGAGCCATCCAGGCCATACTGGGTGGTCCTGGGGGTAGAGGGAAATGGTGCAGGGAAAAAAAATTGACCTAGACAACTTAAAAAAAAATGAGTGCTCACTTTGGCAGCACATATACTAAAATTTGAACAATACAGAGATTAGCATGACTCCTGCACAGGATGACATACAAATTCATGAAACATTCCATTTTGTGGGGGAACATATAAAAGAAAAGACAGTATGAAACTAATATCCAAGGCCAGGGAAAACAGGCCAGGAGGATTGGTCAGTGGTTGGTCAATGGTGTGCGAGTTAGAGGGTAGTTAGGATAGAGGAGGATCCGTTATGACAACACCAGTTGGAAATGATCACTCTGGACAAGAACTGAGTGTTGAAAACAGGTAAAGAGATACACATGATAACCTTTCAACATCTGTATCGCAAACCATAATGCCTAAAATGAGAGAGAGAGAGAGAGAGAGAGAGAGAGAGAGAGAGAGAGAGAGAGAGAGAAGAGAGGTACATGCCATAGAGGCAGGCTGGGGGGCTGGGGTGGGGATGATTTGAGGGGATGGGAAGGAACATGGGGACACTGGTGCTGGGAAATTACAAAGGTGGAGGGATGGGTGTTGGAACATTGTATGACTGAAACACAATCATGAACAAGTTTGTAATGCTCTATCTTATAGTGATTCAATTTTAAAAAGTAAATAGTAAAGTAAGGTAAAGGCCCTCCCGTTGATCGTCGATTTGCTCGAGTGGGCCCAGTAACGTCTCCATTGGAGACTTTGTTGTTACTGTGTCTGGCATATCGAATACCTCACAGGGAGCTTGCCAGGCTCTGCCGTGCGGGCGAGATACTCTCGGTAGCTTGCCGGGCTCTCCAAGAGGGGCAGAGGAATCGAACTCGGGTTGGCCATGTTGGCTGCGTGCAAGGCAAACGCCCTACCGCTGTGCTATCGCTCCAGCTATAGCACAGCAGGTGGGGTGTTTGCCTTGCATGCAGCCGACCCGGGTTCAAAAAGTAAATAAAAAGTAAAAATATATGACATGAAAAGAACTGGGGTGGAGGGGGGTGGGGAAGGAAATGGCACCCAGGTTAGGGAGGGTGGGCTAAGCCAACCGGATATTTGAGACTGTATGATTTAACTATTCAAGAACTATACTAACATTCAACTCACATAGTGGCTAGAGCAATAGCACAGCGGGCAAGGCCTTTGCCTTATACACAGCTGAGCTGGTGGGCCCAAGTTCAATCCCTCCTCCCCTCTCGGAGAGCCCGGCAAGGTACTGAGAGGATCTCGCCCCTATGGCAAAGCCTGGTAAGCTACCCATCACGTATTCGATGTGCCAAACACAGTAATAACAAGTCTCATAATGGAGACGTTAGTGGGCCTGCTCGAGCAAATCAAAAAACAATAGGGAAGACAGTGCTACAGTGCTTTAAATTTTTTAAATGACTCACCATGAGATACAGTTACAAATTTACAAACTTTCATGCTTATGTTTCAGTCATACAATGATTGAGTACCCATCCCTCAACCAGTGCCCATTCTCCACCACCATGGGTCCCAGTATCCTTCCCCCCACCCCCACCCCCTGCCTCTGTGGCAGGCAGATTCCCTTTTACTCTCTCCTTTAGGATGTTGTGATCTGCAATGCAGGTATGAAGTGGTCATCATGTTCAGTCTATAGTCTACTTTCGGCACACATCTCCTATCTCAAGCAGGTCCTCCAAGCATTCTTTACTTGGTGGTCCCTTCTCTTTCTGAGCTGCCTTTTCCCCCAGCATATGAGGACAGCTTCCAAGCCATGAACAGTAAAATCATACAGTCTCCTGGTTCTTCTCTCTACTATCTTTGGGTGTTAGTCTCCCATTTTGTTACTTTATATTCCACAAATCAGTGCAGTCTTCCCATGTCTGACCCTCTTTTTCTGACTCATTTCACTCAGCATAATACTCTCCATGTTAATCTCAAAGTGGAGATATATTTAAAGATGAGGTCCAAAGGAAATTTTCATGTCACCAATTGTGTTTAGATGAATCCTTAGACATCTACTTATGGTACTTTAATGCCATAATACCTTAAGTACTATAATGCATGAAAAGATTGTAAATGTTTTTTACTAGAATAATTTTATTAACTCCCCTTAATTATTATAATCTGCCTTCTCTAATTTGGGAAATTGTTTCAAAGATAAACCAGGAAAAGCTGATCAGTGCCAACTTGATTTCCTGTGTTTCAAGTCAAGAGACCTTCTTCACTATGATGGTAAAGTTTTACCTTGGGATTACAAATGATTAATTCTACTTTGAAACCAAAGACAGCTCATTTGGAAACGTAAAAGATTTAAATCTTGTGGCTAAGTACACTTTGAACAATTTCCCCTTGTTAACTAGACAGAACACAGCTCCAAAGAAGGAAATGGTTACTTGGAGAATATAGATTTTGGTGCAGTCTTTTCCTCACATTTTTAGGAGAGTTTACAATATGATAAACAGTAAATGTTAACACTCACATTTATGATTGATTTTATTTCATAGATAAGTCCTAACACACTGGATGAAATGGTTTACCTAAACCATTAAAAAAATAATTTTTTTCAAATTTATAACGTCAAGACACTCAAAGTCCAATATACATTACAAAGTGTATCTTCCTGACTTTGTTTATTATTTTTCAGTCCTTCACTTTCCATTAGCATGAGGTGAGTAGTTTATGAGACAGACACTGAATCACGATATTGTCCATGAGGTATGTGTCCAGAGAGGTCAAGACCAGTAAAATTGGCGTGGACTCCTGCTCAGCATGGACACTAAGGTCCTCCTGACCTCACAAAGGAAGCCACCAAGTTGCATCTGAGAGCTGCTTGTGTGCATGGCCTACGTTACAGGGCCTGCCACATGGATTGGGGAGGAGGATGACCGACGTTCTTAGCGTAAGACAAGATAATGCTCTTCACAGGGAAAGGAGAAGTCATTCCTTGTGTTTACTTGGGGACTAGGCTCTTTGTCTCAGTGCAGTAAAGAATTTCAGGAGAAAGCGTAAGACATAAAAGATTTTCTTTTTATTAAGGGAGGATAAGACACAATAAAGAATGTGGAGGTAGGAATGGAGAGCACTTGCCTTTGATTTGATCCCTGGTACCACAAAACAAACAAAAATGTGGACTTTAGGTCAAAGCTATAGTATAGCATGTTGACATGGTCCAACTGAATTCAGTCACCATCACCATAGATGGTCCCCAGAGCCCTGCAGGAGTGATCCCTGAGTGCAGAGCCAGAAATAAGTCCTGAGTACCACGAGGGACACCAGGTGTGGCGAAACCAAACAAACAGCAAAAGAATGCAGACTTCTCCTAAGGAAAGAGCACCATAAATAACGGACAGAGATTGCATACCCAAGAGTAGAGCTAGAGGCATTCGCAGAATGGAACGCCCAAGATGTTTTTTGAGGAGTTGATTATACAGGGTCTTTTTCAAGTTTTTTTTTTTTTTTTTTAGCTCAGGCTGTCTGTGTAGATTAGAGTTCTTTTTAGGGTGTTGAGAAAAAGGACTTTGATCTCTCTCTCTCTCTCTCTCTCTCTCTCTCTCTCTCTTCTCTCTCTCTCTCTCTCTCTCTCTCTCTCTCTCTCTCTCTCTCTCTCTCTCTCTCTCTCTCTCTCTCTCTCTCCTCCCTGCATTGATTTATACATATGTGATTTTCAGCCAGGTACTTGGCATTATTTCCCATTTTTTCTCTCTCTATGCCACCTGCAATTATCAACTAACTGTCATGGCAGTTAAATGCAGAAGCCTTAAGATTTGTTGCTGGAGGCTTCCAGGTTTGCACCCTGTGATGCTCAGGGGATCATGTGGTGCCAGGATAAGAAGCATGCTAGACAGGTGCCCCAACCACTCCTCTCTCTTCAGGCCCCCACTGTAAATCTTATCAGGGCCTGTGTTCCTGCCTGTGAAACAGAGCAAGTCACACCTTCCTCTTTTTTTTTTTAATTTTATTGAATCACCATGAGATAGTTACAAGTTTTCATTTTTGGATTACAATTGTGCAATGATCAAACACCCATCCCTCCACCAGTGCACATTCTGCACCACCAATATTCCTGGTATTACCCCCCCGTTTTCCCACCCTCCCCCTGCCTCCATGGCAGTCATTGTTCCCCATAATCTCTCTCTACTTTTGGGCATTATGGTTTGCAATACAGACACTGAGAGGTTATCATGTTTGGTCCTTTATCTACTTTCTGCACACATCTCCCATCCCGACCCAGCACCTTCCTTTTTGAGCTGGCTTCTTTCATTCAATCTCCAGCTTAAGGATTAAGGCAGGCTAGTTCCTTTCAAAATTTTATCTTCTCTCCAAATACTTCTTAATTTCATGGCTTCCTAAAGATCATCACCAAACACACCCCTGACTTGACTGCCTGCCTCAGCATGAACCCTTGCCGGGTTTCAGTCTCTGTCTGCTCATATTTTGTGTATGAGGTGACATAGCCTGATTCACGGATATATAAGTCTGTGCTCATAAAATATAGGTCCATATAAAATTAAAATGTGAAAAAGATTTGAAAATACATACTGCGTTTCCCCCTATTTTATTCTTATATAGGTGGTGAATTTCACTTACCAGGAATAATAATAAAATGTGGCAGGTGGCAAAAGTATACTCAAAGTATATCAGATGTCTTTTTTTGAGGGGTGGCAGGGGGAACACCCAACTGTGCTCAGGACTTATACCTGACGGGGCTTCAGGTACCATATGCAGTGTCAGGGTCAGCCTTAAAAGCAAATGCCTTAACTCCTGTATTATCTTTCTGGCTTCAATAAAGATGTAGGCTTTTTATAGTCTATTAAAAATTTGCATACTTTTCAGAATTTGTAACTGGAAAAATATATTTATAAAAAATGTCATTTTAGATTTTGGACCACACCAGGCTGTACTCAGGGTTTAATCCTGCCTCTGTGCTCAGTGATCACTCCTGTCATGGCTCAGGGGACTATATGGAATGCTGGGGATCAAATTTAGGTTGAATGCATACAAGGCAAGAGCCCTACCCACTGTACTATCTACCCAACACCAGAAAATGTCATTTTAATTAGCATCATTGCTGTGCCCTTAAAAGCCTGCTGTTGACTTTTAATTGTTCCCCCAAACTCATGGTTTTCTGCTCAATGTTAAATTTTTTTCATATAATAGGTATTAGGGAATATTT